CGGGCATACTTGGCGGCAATCTATAGAAAATGCGCTGCCGCTCCGTGCCCAGCGCGTGGATCAGCATGCGTTCTTTCGTTCGGATCTGAACCTCCCCGCGTCCACGACCCTCAGGTAATTCTCGAACATCCGGTGCCATTGCTTCCAAGGTACGTGAGGCTTGCCTGGTTTCTCTTGAAACGAAGGTAACGGCGAAATGCTGCAGGTGGTTCATCGTAGTCCAGATCGTAGGATGACCGAACCAGCAACGGCTGTGCTCGAGATCGCAACATCCTCGTCGCCAAAATCATGTTGTAGCGGAAAGAGCGGAAAGTAAAGAAAGGCATTCGGACACGGCAACGTTCCAACTCGAACTGCCTTTAATCACACGCTCTTCGTCGTTCAATAACATATCCACATCATGGTGATGATTATGTACAGTAGCGACACAATACGAAGACATATCCAAAACTCAGCAAACATAAGGAGGTGAGTAACGAGGCGCTGTGACAAAATTACCGATGCTCGACCTTTAGCTGTTATTCCATCCTGAAATATGTCGTCGTTTTTCGGGCTAACTGAGTCACCTGAAATGTCTTTTTCAGTTTTTTTGCCCTATTGTATACATGATGTCCACACAAAAAAAAATTTGCAGAGTTTTTATTTTCAATGTAAAATTAAAGTACACATAGCCGAACGCCCAAAGGTAGCGCTAGAGGTCCGAACCAGATACCAAAGTTTCAACCCAAACCGGTATGTTATTGAGAAGTTATAAATAATTTTCTGAAAATTTAAATGTGAAAATGACGGCCGACAGTGCTCCAGAAACGAGAAACGGAGGAAAGCGGCCGGGCCCCATATTTTTCCTTCTAAATTTTCAGAAAGGGCTTATAACTTTGAAATATGATATCCGTTCGGGCTGAAAATCTGGCATCTGGTTCAGACCACTGGGGCTACCTTTGGACGGAGAATGAACATTCGGCAATGCGTGGTTTAATGTTGGGGACAAAAAAACCTGTAATCTTTGGAGGAAACATCTGTAGTTGCAGTCCGTTAATAGTACAAATATAACAGATTCTGTTGTTCGCTATGTTAGTACCAAGGTTTTACTTGTTTGCTACATGATAATGTTGGCGGGCAATCAGACGTACATCTGTAAGAGTCGTACTCGGTCGACTTATTATTAACACAGAAAACGTTTTGTCGGGCGAATTCAATAGAAAAAGCAACACGTTCATCTGTTATCTTCCAGCGACGCTTTCCTGCAAAGGGAAGATGCCAAAAAGACAAAGAAAGACCCAACTTACCATAATGCCAACACTGCAAAGAGTTCGTGCACCTTAATTTCTTCGCTATCTCATGTAGACAAGCAAGGCTTACGAAAGACACTGAAACCTGGCCTTAGCAAGTCTGAACCATCAAGCACCCTCAGGATCATGACTGGTGGGCAAAGTCATATACAGATTCTTAACGGAAGCATAGGGTATTGCAATCCGTCCTCAGGGGGGCTAAGCTCGGCACGGAGAGATCAAGGCGAGTTCGCCGAACTCGCCGCCCGCCGCGATTGGTCGGCGCCGTGCATTACGACACGTGCCGTCACTCCATAGATCATGACGTCAGAACGGAGAGTTTAAGGCGGTCGGAGAGTGGCATATTCGAAACTCGCGGCGAGATGCTGTGTAGTCATTGTGACGTGGCAAAGGCCGCCACGGATAGGAAAAGGTTGCCGGCTCCTACTTAGGCCAGTTTGGGCGAGTTGGGCGCGACATGAGGGAGAAGCGTCCAAATTGGCAGCGTATTTGTTCCTGTTTCGCCGTCGGCGTAGCTATTTAAGCTACGCGAATGTGTTTGACATGGGCGACGTTGATTTTCAACAAAACTATCGCCTCTCGAAAGACGTGGTAAGGTGGCTGCGCGATGAACTGCGTGCAAACCGATCTTGAGGCGAGAGAGCCATGAATGGACCGTCGTCCCCGTCGTGAATCCTACATACAAATTCTACAAACTGAATCTTAGAAACAAATGTTTTTTTACAGCAATCTGCAACCAGAGACGCAATTTATCATTACCTACAGGCTTTTACAATTATTTTGATGGTTTGCTGCGCTGCGTAGATGAAAGATAAAGGCACTTGGTAAAATTTATACTAAAACAGATGATAGAAGAAAAGCAAAGTACATGAGTGGCGCAGACTAACAACTGTGTAATTTCTTTCTCATATTTCTTCCTCCACACCGTTAGTTGTTCATATAGCAGGAGAACATGCCAGAACATTGCGACGTTGTTACCCACTGTAGATAGGCAATTTAGCCAGTGCAGTATGACTTCTAGCATGGGGTCTTTGACGTGCACCACGCAGTAGTGATCCACGACCGCACGCCGGTACAATGCTCATCCAGATCGACATGGGCAGGGGTGGGGATTAAATCCACTCGTGGAATCCACAATCCTGGGTTCTGCAGCGTAAGCTTCCGCTCTACGTGCACCCTATTTAAAAAAAAAACACACACAAAAAACAAGAAAAATATTCTGGCTTTGTGGCGGTGTGGGGGCAGAAAGATGAGAAAGAAATTACACAGTTGTTATTCCGCCATTCCTGTATGTTGTTTTTCGTCTATTTTCTGCGTTAGTTTAAATCTTTATCGAGTGCGTTTTCTTCCATCTACGTGGCGCAGCAAACCATCACAATGTCTAATCAACTAGCCCATATCCAAGCAATGTTTGCATAATTAGCATCCGTGCTGTTACCTATTCTTATTTGTCATTTACGATTTAAATAAAACAAAATTGGGTTGTGTGTATGTTGATACCGCCTAAAACTTGGTCTGCCTCAACGGACGACAATTCTCCCATCTGCAAATGAGAAATTTAGCCAATGCAGTACAACCGCTAGCCTGGAGTCTTTAACGTCCATCGCGCAGTATTGATACACGACTGCACGCCGGTATGATGCTCATCAACATCGAAAAGGGCAAGGGTGGGGATGGAACCCAGGATCCTGGGTTCTGCAACGGACCTTTCGCTGGACGTGCTCCGAGCTGGTGTGCGCCGGGCGGCCGGCCACCGATCCCCCGATTTAGATCAAATTAAACCCTTTACTGCGGAGCGTAGGGACAAATCGGAGCTACGCTGGGGAACTCGCCGCCCCCAGGGGGCTCGGAAATGTAAAAGGAGGAGTGGGAAACTCGCCGGGGCAGAGTCAAAAGAACCTCCTCCCGTCCCTCGTGACGTCGCACCGGAAAGATTCCCGCCGAAGGCGAGCTTAGCCCCCAGATATCTCAAGCTGACCGGACTTGACGTCCACCTCTAAGAGAAGACGCTCTGAAAGCCACGACGATCCGCGACCACTTGTTCAAAGAATGAATAGACGTCTAACAATGTAACTATTTCCCATGAGGACGAGAGGCAGGTTAATAATCTACGAGGGTGATAAAATGAATGCCGTTTGCAATTCCCAGTAACGCCGGTTAGAGCGCAGCTCTTGAGGAGGAGGATGGAAGCATACTGAGGGATAGGTGACTACTTGAGGTCACGTGACCTCAGGGGGGGGGTCGTGTGACGTCAGGGGGTAACGTGACGTCGAGGGAGGAGGTCACGTTACCTCAGGGGGGTCACGTGACTTCAGGGAGTCACGTGACCTCAGGGGGTCAGATGGCTTCAGGAGGGCCAAGTGATCTGAGGGGGTCACGTGATCTGCGGGGGTTACGTGACCTGAGGGGGGTCACATGACCTGGGGGGTCACGTGATGTGGGGTCACATGAAGTCAGGGGGTCACTTGGCCTCAGGGGGTCACGTGACCTCAGGAGGCACGTGACCTCAGGGGGGGGGGGGGTCACGTGACTTGGGGGTCACTTGACCTTTGGGGGTCACGTGACCTCGCGGTTACGCCGACGCCGACGCCGCTCCAGCCGGAAACGGGCCCCTAAGAGCTGCGCTATAAAACAATTATCCGCGCTCCGGCTACCTTAAGAATTTTGTTGGCCGCACTGTTTTATCAGCGCTCGTCGTATACGAGGTCGTTGTATCTCCAGTCATTACTGTGCAAATTTGACCGTGTTACAATGAACACTAACACGCCCCCCCCCCCCCCCGCATTTTTTAAATTTTTTGTTAGGCGATTTAGTATGGTGTCAGAAGACTGCCCGATCAACTTATTGCAACAGAGTCACGTATATACTTTAAAAAGTTAAAAAAAAAGAAAGAAAAGAAATGTCAAAGCCGTTTACAACTCCGCGTAATGCCGAATTTGAGCGCAGCTCTTGAGGAGGAGGAGGGAAGGGTACTGATGGGAGGGTATACCCCTCCTTTTTCTCCTACTCCTTCTCTCATTGTTCAATCTCTTCGAGGGGGAGGGGGGTCACGTGACCTCGGGGGGTAGGGGGTCGCGATACCTCGGGGGGAGGGGGTCACGTGACCTTGGTGGGGTTCACGTGACCTCGTGGTTACGCCGACGCCGACGCCGATGCCGCTCAAGCCGGAAACGGGAACCTAAAGGCCCGTTCACACTCTTGCGACCGACTTCGACCGAGTGCACTAAAACTTCTTGAAACCTCTTACAACCTCTTAAGACAACGGTTGCTATAGCAACCACTGCGTTTTGCTACGACCAGCTAAACATTTTGTTCACGTCGTACGTAGTCGCGTCGTACGTAGTCGCGTCGACAACCAATAGCAGAACGCTAAAAGGGCTCGGCTTCAGCCACTAGCAATCGACATAGTCAGGCAACACTGGATGATGCTACGGTGCTCGCTTCTCGTCCCAACATGGCTGCTCCGGCGAGTAGCTCACCCCTGGCCCCGATCCCGCCGGACTGGCCCGATTCCGGCAGCAGTGATGTGCTGCGGACACTGTTCCTGCAGTGTGTTGATGCATATGTAGCGGAGTCAGGGAACGACGTGGACTGGCTACTTGTGGCACGAGCGTCCGCAGCGATGCGCCTGCGTTCCCGACGGAGGGAGCCACGCGAGTGGATTCGCTTTCTGCTCCGGTCCCGGGCAACGCACGGTGAATTTCACCAGCTTGTCCGGGACATGCGCCTCGACGACGGAAGCGACTTCTTCCGATACTTCCGCATGACGCCGCAAAGGTGGGTACTTAACTCTCCTTGAACATAAACAGCCACAAAAAAGATACGTTTGGATGTTTGATCGTCTCGGTGGCTCTGAGGCAAAGGGCCGCACTTTGCTTATGATTCGCCAGTTGGCGGGTTCGAATTCCGCCCGCGGTGCCCGCTGTGTAATCGAGAAAGAAAGTGCTCGAAATTGTTTCATGACTGGGGCGTGCCATGTAATCTACAGTAAAATAGTTTGTCGTTGGGCGAGTTGGTGAACGTGCGCTCGTGTTTGTTTCTCTCTCTTGCGTCCGTCTTTTTTTTGCGCAAAACCATGTATCCAAACATGTAATCTAATTCGTTGATTTGGTTCGTAAAACACCCGAGTTTTACCTTTTTCGACCATGTGCAATTACTTCACTATGGCTGGGTTACGTTCATGTAACCAGTTTTTCTTCGATCACTTTTGAAGAAAAGATTGAGAAAAAAACAACATTGGCAGGTCATTTTTGGTCACTTTCAGTAGACTCCTGTCAGCTGTGTTCGACAAATTCTAAAGTGCACAAGTTTGTCTGCTTTGATTTCATTGTACCGAGAGGACAAGACCAAATTACAAAATAGTGTTTTACAGGCTGTTCCTGCAATTGTTAATTTCAGTGGCTCACTTCTTAAGAGTAGCTGCCCACAGTATTGAACAAATTGCTTTTGAGTACGAACATTAATAACCACTTTGTCTACAGATTTGACCACCTGCTCTCCTTGGTGGGGCCTCTTCTGCAGAAAAAGGCGACTTTCTTCAGGGAGCCCATAAGCCCTGCAGAACGTTTGTCGTTCACAATCCGGTAAGTTGAAGAACCTCTCAAATAACCTTGCCATAAGCCAACTTAAAAAAGTGTACATGTATGGGAATTCCGAGGCAGTCCTATTTATTTAGCCAAAGTAAAGCAGCTATTATACATCCTATATCTCTCGCAGCATTCCAGTGCATATACATGCCTTGCACTTACGTCATTAAAATTGCATGCTGGAGGGCCGTCGCCATTATGCTGTACCAAATCGTCATCGCTGCATAGGAAGTTCCCTGCAGTTGCCGTCAGTTTGCCTCGCTGAGCGAAGGTTTTGCTACGTAGAATGGTTGCATGTGGTTATTAATTGTGCAAACAGGACTAAGAGCAACAAGCGTCGTGATCGTAACACCGTCAGGGATGCGAGATTTTTTAAACTATCGAAGGTGATCTTCGCTCAGTGTCGGCGGACACAGGAACTGTCATAGAAGCGAAGGAGCATGTGGTTTGCGAAGATTAACAGGGCCGACTTGGTCACAAACGGGAACACACAGGTGTGCAGCGAGCACTTTGTTACAGATAAGAAATGCTTCTTGTCGTTCTCCGTTTTCAGGACGCGTTCACCCGGTTGCTGTCGCAAGAATGTAAAACTCGGCGCAGCATTGTCTGCTGCGCCGAGTTTCGCGAACGTGAGTGCGTCAGCGAATGGCGTTTTTTCTTTGTTTTACAGGACCTCCTTCTAAGTTGTTCGATGACACGAATCCTGACTGGGCGCCGAGTTTGAAGCTCGGTTACACGGACGAAGGAGATTGCTCAGCCTCGAGTCGCAGTGCTCGAGGCTCAGCGAGTTACGTTAGGGAAAAAGGCGGTGTGGAATGTCGTGTCCACGCCGATGTGAAGTTCGTAGGGATCCTCGCCTTCGCAAAGTTCCAACTTCTTCGCTTATCTCGCTCTCGTAGGCCCAACGAGCTCGTCGAAGTAATCTCCGCAGAGCGGCAACATCCGGTCCTCCGGCGACGGCATATTTAGCCCGTAGGCGCTGGTAAAAATAGATTAAAACTTTTTGTTTATAAATTGTGCGAAAAACAACAAACACACACACAAAAAAAAAAAAAAAACTCTATGCTCTCAAACTGCGTAAACACGTCACGGTCGGGCGAAACACGCCGTCGACTACGCTTTGTAGGTTCTCCGGTCCCCCGGTGGTACGGAGCAATTGCGATGAGGGCGGGGCATCGCGGCGTGACGTCAGGCGCAAGGCATGTATAAGCGCTCTGGGTATGCCTTCATGACATTCAGTTATCCACGGTCTGTGTACTGAAGTGACTAATCGCTACCTCGCTGACTCCGAGGCAAAGCACCGGCTATGGATGCCCAGGTGACGGGTTCGTATCTTAGTTCAGGTGCCCGTAATCTGACAGAGGCTTATTGCGGAGAGGGTGCCGTGTAATTGAGCTTTCGGTTGAACGTCAAAAGATCCCCAGGTGGTCCAAATTAATCCTCAGTGCTCTGCTGGGGCGTGCCAGGTGCCCGTCGTTGGTGTGACACGTAAAACCCCGAGACTTTTTTTTTAAGTGACTAATGCCATGCAAAATGCCTGACAAAGAGAGAAAAGACACAAGGAAGTGAGGGAAAGGAGGAGACGAGGGCGTGCAGGGACTTCAAAACGCAGAGCTCTCATTGAAACGATTAGTGGGTAGACTGAAAGCTAGCAACCGTTGTCTGCACTGCACTCATCAAACACGTTCGAACGCCGTTGGCTTTCGCATTCGAACACACGAGTGCAGTGGAGATAAACGCGGCCTTTGTATCCGCTGCAGTGTCGAACGCGTGAAAACGTGGAACGCAGGCGTCTGGTGTTTGGCTCTTGCATTCGAAAGGGTTCGACTAGTGCAGTGGAGACAAGGGCAGCCTTTGTCTCCACTGCACTCGTCGAGCGCTTTAAAAGGTGGAACGCAAGCGTCTGGCATTTTGCTGTCACATTCGAGTGGGTTCGATGAGTGCAATAAGACAATGGCTGCTAGCTCTCGGCAACCCACTAATCGTTCCAATCAGCGCTTGGCGTGCAAGGCCATCTTGAAACTTTTCCGTGAGGAGACTCCTAGTGTGGGGGATCAGTGGCCGAATGTGTTAATGCACCATGACTCCAAGCAGGTAGAGCAAAAGGTCCATGCTGAGGGATCCAGGGAGCCTGGCCTAAATCCCCATGCCTACCCGTTTCAATTTGAATGAGCATCGCATTGGTGTTTGCTCGTGTCACCACTGCACGGTGTATGTTACGGCTAGCATTTATACTACACTGGCTTAATTCATTTGCAATATAAAAAAGGTTCCATGTTTTCAGAGTTCTTGTTTTTCAAATTGGGGGTGTATTTTTGGGGTTTATTGTCCCCACGGATTGGTTGTTTTTCAACGACAATGTTGAATAAATATGCACGCAACCCGAATACTTGAAAACTTCCAAGGACCAAAATTGAAGGAAATGGAATAAGGTCTGTGGTTCCTGAGAAAGAAGCAGGCAGTTTACTAATAGCCCTCTTCTGGATCAGCACAAAATAAAGCTGTACATAATAAGTTTGTTCCCGTGAAGCTTGGGCTCTTGTAATTCAAGGACAGCTCGAAATCAGTTTTTCAGTTTTCCCAGATTTTGACAAAACTGACTTGGGTTTATTTTTCTAGGTTTTATTGGTATTTACTGAAAGCATGGAACCCTGATTGTAACCTACTGTCATCAGATTTCAAAGGTAGAACATCCTTTAACTGTCTACATACAAACATCTCATTTACATTATTTTGAGCCCCACTCATCTTTTATATCACTCTTTTTGTTCTCTGTTGCTCCAAGCATTGACTGTTTCTGTTGCTTGTCTAATAGCCCATGTATCATTGTGACCCACAACTTTAACATTTTAGGTGCCTGGTTCATGGGTCTTCTCAGCAGCTGGCATCCATGTGCTACAGGATCGGACGATCGACAGCAAGCAACATCCTACGGGAGACGTGCTGGGCACTGCACCATGTACTGGACCCATTGTACCGCCCGGTGAGTATGTCAGTGTTGCTGTTATGTCCGGACCTAACGTCACACAGCGTCGGCTCATTCAGTTCAGTTTCCAGCCGAGGCGGGCTGTTCATCCATGTAGAACATAACCGCACTTTGCTGATGAGTGTGCAGGCTGCTCCGAAGTCAACCTTGAAATTCAAGCACCTGTTGTCAACTGATACGTCCGCTGTGAAGTTCAGCACATTGGTAGTATTTGCACGGTGTTCAGCTCGTACAGTGTTGACGTAGCCAGTGAGGGAGGGTGCATGACAATTGTGGCACACTTGTCTGCACCTGGTGCTGTTATAGATAGATGCTGTGATTTATGTGCGAATGTTTCGTATCCTTCCGCTTCTTGATGCATGCCTTGACAATGTGTCTGCATTTCTTGCAATAGTTGCAACATGCTGCCTGAAATTTGTAAGTGTCTGGAGTGTGCTGCGCATTGCATCGCCAGCAGTGCTGAGCGTTCTAATATAGTTCGTCTGGTTATTTGAGCGATCCTGGTTCTGCATTTTGTAGCCACTTGTACTTCGTTGTGCACTTCCTTGAATTCAGCTTGCCTCTTTTTCTAGCCTTCCCGCGGCATTCTCTGCTCGCAGGGCAAAGTTGTAGCCAAGTACGAGCTGCCATTACTGCCCTATTTTTGTTTCCCAGAAATGCTGACCACTGGCACTTTTGATGACAAGGAGCGAACCCACAAAAAGCCTCCATTAGTGACAGAAGCACAATGGTGTTTATGCTCCATCGTACAAGTTATGTGCTGCACTACACTTCCTCCACCCCTAAGCTGGCAGTATGGTGGGAGCTACATGCTTGCCAGAAAAATCAACCGCCACCCTTTCGTCTTCTGACCGCTATTTCTGCTCGTAGCCACAGAAGGGAGCATGATCATGTGACAAAAGGTAGACACACGACTAGTAGATTGAGCAGGTAGCTTCTAGTGCCTGGTCAACTTAGGAGTTAAAGAAGTAAATCAAAGACACAGGCTAGGTTTTGCTAATTAACCATTTATACAGAAACTTCAATTCCCTGTGCAGCAAAAGCCCTATCTTAAGCCAATATCTCATGGCTGTGATCTTAATGCTTCACAAAACTCTTGAAGATGCAACAAACACAGACAACAACCTCTTGCGCAACCACAGTGATGAAGTGAAGTGAATAAAATAAGGAAGGTAAAGTGAAAGACAGTTATGACTGCATCTCTTTACCAGAAATTAATGCCGTGGCTTGTGCTGTTTATGAATACTTTGGATTTGACGTTCTCTCTGTAAAGCGTACACTCCCTGTAAACTCTCAACTGCAAATAATTGCGACCAATGCAACATTACGGCTGTTTCCCAAATCCAACTCGAATGGATCCGAGTTACTGCAGCAGATCATGTCACTGGACAAGACAGATAAAGAAACGCTGGACGCGTTTAGGTTTTCAAACACCAGGTACAGAACCTTTACCCTACAGTGAGATTGAGTCAATTTGGGAACACGGACTATGAGTGCTGTGCTAGGATCACTTGAAAAAACATCTTAGTATTCATGGCACTTATGCCTTCTTACAAAAAGAAACTGTAAATGGTGTAACATATGACACTTCTGGATTTGAGGTGTTTGGTATGTCTTGGTGGTGTTTGTGTGATTCTGGCTAAGACTTGGTCAACTGTTGTTCTAGGCCCCCGACACTGCCCAGTGGGAGCGGACCGCAGCAGAGTTTGGCAGGCTGTGGAACTTCCCAAACTGTGTCGGAGCCCTGGATGGCAAGCACGTGGCCATCCAGGCCCCGTCCGGTGCGGGCTCCGACACCTTCAACTACAAGGGGTTCCACAGCACTGTACTCATGGCCAGCTGCGATGCCACTTACAAGTTCACTCTCGTAGATGTTGGGCAGCCGGGGCGGTTTAGTGACGGGGGAGTGTTCAGAGAGTCTGAAATGGGGCGGTCTATGCTGTCGGGGGAACTTGGTCTCCCGCCAGCTGGGCTCCTACCCCAAAAAGAAACCAAGCTGCCTTTTGTATTCGTGGGCGATGAGGCGTTCCCCCTGCTCCCTAACCTCATGCGCCCTTTTCCCAGGAGAGAACTGCAGTTACTCTCTCGAGTGTTTAACTACAGACTCTCCAGGGCAAGGAGGATCATTGAGAATGCCTTTGGCATCTTGGTGGCGAGGTGGCGCATTTTCAGACAACCAATCCAGGCTTCTGAGGAAACCCTGGAGGCCGTTGTCTGGGCATGCGTCGACTTGCACAACTACTTGAGGGTGTGTGATGAGAGTGAGCAGGGACATCGCCGCTACTGCCCTCAAAACTACGCTGACCACGAGAACCCTTTGGGCGGCGTGGTGAGCGGAGGCTGGAGAGCTGATGTAAATGATGGCACTGCCCTGTCAGATGTAGGTTGCATCAGCTCGACTGTGCCTGGCGACAGGGCTAAGGCGGTGAGGGACGCCTTCAGCAGGTACTTCTGCTCTCTCACTGGTGAAGTGCCTTGGCAGTACAATGTAGTGTTCAGGGGCTCAGCACCCAATGCTTAAAGGGACAATGCAACAATTTTAGGTTCGAAAGAATTTGCAGTTTTTAATTTTTACACTACCTTACCACGAGGTATAGAGAAACCACCTCATTCTTGTGAAATATCGCAATTCCATTGTGTATTAGCAAATAAAAAAACAAGGAACGTTTTGCTATTTACAGCTGCAAGTGGCGGCCATGGGAGCTATGGCATGACACCAACCTTGGTGCATTGTAATAACTTGGCAAGATGTGCTACTATGTGCTCAATATCTAATGCTATCTTTCATAAATATTGTCGTTTCAACATGAGTAAATGTCTACAAATCCTCATATCATTGAAAAAACGGCACTATATTCAGTTCTATATCACTTTTTTATTTTTATTTTAAACAAACTTACATGCAGAAGCAAAATTGGTTTTCAGCTCCTTTGCTCCACACAGGACAGGGAACAACTACCACAGTTATTTGACCGAATTCCAAAAATTGTTGCACAGCCCCTTTCACTCTATCGGTAACATTCCCCCATCTTTTAAACATTGTAAATTGAATACATATAGGGTTCTTGCACTTGATGCCATTATAGTTGGAAATCCTAGCGGCATATTAAGGGCCACTCCGCTTCATACTTGTTTTTGAAAAACCAATGCAGTCCTCTTCAGTATCACCTAGGAAGACCACACGTCAAATATTACAACGTAGTTCTCTAAATGTTCTTTAAAGGGTGCGGCAAACTTTGCAACTCGCCAAGTTGCCGAAATTGGCTGACTCGAGCGGGCGAATTGAGGCGCAACCAACAGCGCAGTCAAGGCTACAGCGTGGGCGTAGCCACCTTTGAGCTAAACGTCATCACCATTGCCCCCAGTTTTTACTTCTCCGGGCAAGCGTAATGTGTAATGTCAGCAACGTTCCTTCTTAGCGCTAAGCGGTGTCTGCATGATTGGCGTAATGCGCCTGCGCAACACGTTTCTTGGGAGCCGTCTTGTCGCCTCGCCGTTACCGCCATCTCCCGCGTCGCAACCGCCCTCGTCGTCTCCCTGTTTGTGATTATTGTCTCGCAATTTAGTCCACACTACAGCCACTACGTGTGCAGACTTATGCCGTAGTTGGGCAGACGTCACTGAATGCTGTAGACACCAAAACTTGGTGAAGATTGTGGTGCAGACGACACTTGCGCCTGGCACACGCCCGCCCCGATTCCAATCCTGCCCGTTGTCGTGTAGAGGATCACGTGACATGTTGTACCATGTGATAGGCATGTTCTTGGCGGCCCGAGGCCAATGTTGCCAAACGGAGCCGAGGTTTCAGTTTCAATTTTTGCTCGTGTTTAAAATGGGACTTAAAAATATATATTCCATTTTTCGCAAAGCAAATGATGTAGTGTTTTTTACTAGGGCTTTTTAATGCGAAATCACTCATCATGTCAAAGTATTTGAAATCGAGCGGAGTTGCCCTTTAAAAAAAAACTATGAAGTCTAATGTTAATAAGCCGTCTGCGGTATTGCACATTGTACCATTTTCCCTATTCATTTTTAATGTAAGCGATTCTTTGCTAACGTCATCCTAACTCCCAGACTAACTTTTTTTTTTTTTTTTTTTTTCTGAGCTGCCTCAGTGGGCTTGACGGTGACTGCAGAAGCCATTTCAGTGAGCAAAACCAGTCTTGAGGCTTGTCTTAGGTTTGAGTGAAGACCGGTATGTATAAAAATTGAGCACCAGCGACTTGTGCGGCTGGCACAGTCAATTATGACGCAAAGAACTAGCGTTCTGGAAAACAGTGCCTTTGCACATAAAAAGGCATAAAACAAAAGCAGACGAAAGTGAGCATGGATTCCAACAAGATTTCAAGCCAGGAATATTCTTTCATCATGGTCTCGTGCAGGGACCCTAAGAAAATCTTAGTGACACTAAAAAAAATGTATGTTGGTTGTATTTCCCCATTTCAAATTTGTTGGATGCTTTCTCTCCTCTTGCCTGTAATGCAATTTTTTTAATTGTGTAAACATAACAAAACCAAACTTTTTTTTCTCTTTACTTTGGGAGGCAGGCACTTGTCAAGCAAGAAACTAATTGTTCTTCTGTTTTCTCTCCAAATGAATTAAATTGTGATTTCCTTCCTGTGACTTGGAATCCATTCTACAATTGCAGTGTGTCCATTTTTGATAGCCTCTTGAATTGAGCAGTCTGGATCGGTGAAGGATCACGGAATGTTTTGTTCAGTTTACACTTAAATTTAAGGGTAACTCTGGTTAATTACGAAGATTTTCAGTCAATGGTTGATTAGATGTCAAACCTTATCTCACAACTGCTCCTCATTGAAATATTTTCATGCAATCTTCGTTCGAAGTTTACCACAAACCTACCCTAAGCCGTGAACTCGGATGATGCAGAAGTAACAATGCCTGCCTGCGGTAGGCATTGTTACTTTTGCATCATTACAGGCATGGTTTACCACTACAAACTGCAACGTTTTATGGGTGGCAGGCCGCTGTGCAAGGGTGCGTGTTTTCTGCTCTATCTGCAGTCAGTTACATCCGACGATGCTTGATGGACTGTCTTGGCAACTGCGTTTTGATCAGGAGGCTTGGTCAGAGAACTGATATTTTTCTATGTTGGTGTGGTGTTACCTTTTTCCACGTGTGCAAATAAAAATTTAAGAAAACGAATAACTGACTTGTTCAAACTGTTTTTATTTGAGGAATATCCCAGGTTTCCCAATTAGCAATGTATGTGTCATCTCTTAACACAGACCCCTTTATTATGAGAACACTTTGGGAGACAAACTGGGTAAATACATGCATTTTTGTCTCATTATTATGAATAACTCACACTATGGACATTTTGCTTTGGGAATGAAGGTGTGCATTAACGAGACATCACTAAATCGCACGACTTGAAGTAAACAAATGTCATAAGTCGTAGCACTAATTCATTATTTTGACGTCTCCAACTTGGGACTTCAAATCGAAAGTAGCCGGGGAAAATGTCACCTTGCTTGCAATAGACGTTGCAGTTCAACACACCTTTCTGGCCACAAATGTCCACTGCTGCTTTTATGACCTTTTTAAGTTATGGGGAATGCAAAGAAACTCAAAATACAACTCAAGTATCAGCCAGCACATGACATTTGCTTGGTTGTGGAAAACATTACAGAATGCTCTCGCGTTCTGTAATGTTTTGGATTTGATTCTCGTGTCACAAAATTTGCAGTCAATTGCATGACACTTGCTGTAGGAAGATGCATGTCTCTCGTACAACCACAATGCAGATTGCTATATGGTAATTTTTTAATCGGTGTGTTGGAACCTCGGTTGTTTGTTTGCACCAGTCAATGTCAAGGAGGCAATGTTTGCAATTGCAACAATTTATTGAACATCACTATCATTTCGTAAGCAACCTACATTCATTATGCAAGTTATACACAAACCAAAAATAAAATCTAGGTTAAACAGCAAACCCAGATGCAAAGCGAGACTTTGCGACGATTTGAAGATGCGCTCGCACGGTGTGGAAGCCTAGAGGCACAAAAATTGTTCAAAACTCTCAGTGCTTTGTACTTTACATTTGTTATGTAGTTCACGCACTTACTTTTGCTATGTGCAGCCAATATGAAAGAATATCTAGCTCGTTTTTGTTGGGCATTCAAAACTTTAAGTGAGACACGTGCCGAAATGACATGCAAGAGTTGAGAACATTGTCACCAGACGTGTGATGTCTGAAAGGGTCAAATGTCGTGCCAGTCGAGCACACACACACTATGCAAGACCTTTCCAGCGCCATGTAGGACCAAAACTTCTCCGGCATGCGACACAGCGACATGGGACCGTCGACACTCACACCTCCAGTCGGAAACTAAACCAAACAAAATGGCTACCACCCTACTATCCCTGCAACAGCTGCATTGACGGGGGATGTCAAAATAATTTTTTAGATATGTTGGCGATGGACGTAGAAATAGTCAATACCTTATATTATTTCATCTGCAATAAATACACTAAAACCATGACATAAACTAAACAACGAGCAAAATAACACATCAATATATTTTATGCACAAGTAAAGAAGATAATAATGCATCACAGGTGGGCATGCCAATATATTCCTATCATGACATGCAATAAAAAAAATTAAAAATGAATTGTTTGCTAATTGCACAGGTCAAAACAGAATGCATAACAAAATAATGCATCAATGCAACATTATAATCAAGAAATAAAATAAAAAATTAGTAAAATAAAACATCTATGCATTTTGGGCTATACAACATTCAAGGTACACAATATCTCACTATTATCTTTTTTTTTTTTTTTTGGTTTCAGTGTATGCTCAAAGGCAGGAAGTACTTGGTATTGATGTTGCTGACTTGTAAAGGCCCGTTCGCACAATTGCAACCGACTACGACCGGCTGAGCCAAGATCGGTTTTTAAGCCTCTTGCGCGACGGCTTACAAGCGGATGCACTGCTGCAGAGCCTGTCGGAAGTCGTCGCAGCAAGAAGCTTAAAAACCGGTCTCGTCTCAGTCGGTCGTAGTCAAACGCAAATGTGTGAACGGGCCTTTATCAGTTGTAGGTGCTTTTGGGGGAGGGGCTTGGGATGACCCACTCAGCAGAGTGGCACTTGCCGCTGAAAGTAGAAAGCAGCCGCCCCTCCTGCCAGCATGCTGCTTCCGTATTCCCCAGACACAGTTGCCTAGTTTGCTGAGCCCTTGTCGGTTCCGATAAGCCTTGCTGTTAGCTCGAACCTGACTTTATAACCAATTTTTCCTGGAGCAAGGAGTTCGAAGCCTAGCTTGCCGACCAAAGTAGACCATTTCAACAAGCTAGGCCTCCATTTTCAACATACTTCGCTCCACTGCCTTTTTTAAAAATATGTTATAATCTCAAACTCGAGCAAACGGCAAGCCTCGTCAGGACCAACACGGGTTCAGCAAGCTAAGCAACCAAGTCAAAGGGGGGGGGGGGGGGGGGGGGAGAACAGTATGCCAGCAGCAGGGGTGAACGCTTCCTATCTCTCAGCGTCAACTGCTGCTCTGTTGAGTGGGCCCTCCCAAGCCCACTCCCAGTAGTAGCTGCACCTGATAACAAGCCAGCAGTATCAACATCATGTTTTGTGATATCAAGGCTTATTCCTGATTTTCTTTATCGCTAAGGGCTTCCATCTTTAGCTCATATGCCATCTTGTGCATGTTAAGTTTAAAACGGCTTTGATAGCTAGGTGGCAGGCTCTCAACCTCGCTGATCATAAATGCCATAAATGCACTATTGGGTGTGCTTATATCAAGGTGAGGCCTTGTGCACACCCTGCCCATCTGACGCACAGATTCTTCAATAACTGTAGCCAGAGCCGCATCCTCTTGAGCCCTGCCCTGCGGAGAGGTGCCCTTGTGCGTTCTCTTCCTGGAGCGCAGTGGGACTGGCTGCGGGGTTTGTGGCTGCCGCTCAACCAGGGCTGGTCTTGGCGGCGACAGCAGGGTGGGGTGCGCTCCTGAAGGTGCGCACTGCAGTGGCACCAGCTGAGATAAGGTGGGCACCTGGTTGCTCTGCTCCAGCTGAAGGAGCAGCTGGCAGGTTGGAGACAGCTGCAGGTCATCCTGCAATGAGTCCTAGGAAGAGTGCAGCCTTGTTACTCAACCACAATTGGCAGGAACAAAAATAGAGTTCCATTAAAACGTACATTGAAACATCCACTCCAATAATATATATTGAAATTTTGTTTTTTATTAGTTGATCGTCCTCATATGCTTTCTGTAAAGGTGTGCGGAAACTTAGATTGAAACAGCCACTCCAAGAATATATCTTGAAATTTCGGTTTTCATTAGTTGAGCGTCCTCATATGCTTTCTGTACACGTGTGAGGGTATGAAAATCTTTACTGCAAACAATATTGGAAATTTAACTGCAAATCAAATTAAGATAAATTACATTTCATACAAATTGAGCAGGAATAGCTTAATAAAACATGGCTGGAAACCTTTGATACAAAGCATACCTATCAAAATGACTAAAATATTATCTGTGAAAGATTTCACTGTTTGCATTAAGAAAAGGAAGGCCCAGAAAAAACAAGTTAGGTGTAACATGGCAAGCGAGGCAATGACTAGCTTATTTATTTGAATATTGCTGAAGGTTTTCTTTCTTGTCACTGCCCTTTAAATTTGCGGGTTCAACTATAATCGTAACCGGCAAAGGCTGACCTGTAAAAGCGAGCAAAAATGAAGAGACCATCAAGCCAACCGAGATTTTTTCGACACATGAGCCATTTATCCTCGCACACCGGTGCAGAGCAATGACGACTGATGGATGAGTGCCAGTGAAACGCAGTTAAGCTTTTCTGTTTTGCTCTGATGTGAAGTGGAGAAGCTTGACTCCAGCTACCAATTCCGGCAGATGCATCTCTGTGTATGAGTTAGTTTTAGGGGTTTACAAAGAGTTTTGTTGCTGCTTTAGTGTGTTTTTCAGAGTATTTCTGTCTCCTTTTCATGTAGAACAGACTTGTGTTCTTTAAAAGAGGGGAAGGGGTTGTCTGCATCAGGTCTACAGTGACTGGAATGCATTCTCGACTCGTGCCTATACACCAGCTCATGTTTACAAACAAACCGGAGCGCCCCTAGCGGATGCCACCGACGCCGTGCATGCACGGTGGACGGTGGGCAAGAAGCTCGCCGTCGCCCATAAACAAACCATTGAATTGCGTTGTTGTCGGCGTCGCTGGGAGCCCCCGTGCTCTTTTTCGCGCTGGAATTGTTGATTCTACGTCCTCCTAACAATGTCTGACTACTTGAGCGGCTTCAGCAAAATTAACGAGGCAAAACTTTGCGTGAATACTGTGACGTGCGGCGATTCATTTCACGTGGACGCCGCAGAATGGGCGCTAAAACCCGACTCCCACGATGAGATTCTGCTCGCTATTTTCAGTCGCGACATCGCACGGGCTGCAAAAGCGTGGACCATAGCTGAGATGGTGGACGTCGATACTGAAAACTGCGAGTAGAATCGGGCATTACAAGTCGGTGATGGCCACTGGTAACAATGATCAACATCTTCTTGTATCTACTGTTTACACTTAGCCTACTTACCCCAACCAACCACCTTCAAAAGTGTTTTGAGGCCTGCACTTAGTTCTTATCGCAATTACCGGGTCAACGTTTGGTTTACGGGCCGCTGTCGTTTGAACGAGCTGACGACAAAAAGCAGACAAGTTTGAAAGAGCAGACAACAGTTCGAACGCATGCGCGATGGAATGCGGGAAAGAAGCATCGCGTCCCGCATCAACAAACCATTGGAATGTCACGTTGTCGGCGTCTGCGTGAGTGTGCATACTCTTTTTCGCGTTAAAATTGTCGATTCTACGTCCTCATAGCAATGTCTTACCACTTTAATCGCCTGAGCGAAATTATGAAGGCTCATTGCGCCGCTAAACTCTGCGTAAATAATTTGACGTGCGGCGATTCATTCGCATGAACGCCGCAGAATGGACGTCAAAACCATGATGAGATTCTTCTAGCTATTTTCGGTCGCGACGTCGCTCGTGCTGCAAAAGTGTAGAAGGTAGCGGCGATGATTGACGTCGATACTGAAAATTGGAGGCAGGAACAGACCAAGCGTAACAAGTCGGTGATGGCCACTGGTACCAATGATCAACATCTTGTATCTACTGTTTACACCGAGCCTACTTAAGTCTTTTGAGGCCTGCAATTACTTCTTATTGCAATCACCGGGTCAAAGTTTGGTCTACGGGTCGCTTTTGTTTGAATGAGCAGACGACAAAAAGCAGACAAGTTTGAAAGAGCAGACGAAAGTTCAAACGATCAGGCGGCCGTGTGATTTTGAAGATGCACTGAGCCCGTGGGTGGTCCGGACAACTTGGTGGTTTTCTCTCAATCATGTTAGAACAAAACAAATACATCTGGCGACCACAAAGTGTTTCCCGCACAAGCAATCATAGTTCGACAGCGTCTGATTTGCCCTTTTCACGGCTACTGTCCACGTTCTCAGATAAACGGAGGGGGCAGAAACACATGAAAACTAATCTTCAAACCTTTCCAGACTCTCTTGGTACAGCCCCCGTCGCAGGATTTTGACGAGAAGGCAGGTTTTCTGTCCGGTTTCTTCCAAAAAATCACAGGAATGCATGTCTGGCACGGCGACTTCTGCCCACCGCCCCAGACCGAAAGTGCGCCTGACGCGCCACCACCGCGGCGTGACGTAGGAGAGTTGAGTTTGTGTATAGTGTCCTACACAACTCACGTATTGAAGGTGGTTCCAAGGTTGGAGGGAATAAATCGCATCATAAGAGCTGGTATGTCATGCTGTCAGACACTGCGATACTGACGGTCTGTTGTAGAAGTGTTCTGGCACAAGAGACGAGGTTAGTGTAAGCGCCACTGTCATCACAGCATCCCAACTTGTTGCTGTAGAAGCCTCTTTGTACTGTGAAACTGAGAGAGCAACAGCATGACACTTCTATGACGTCATCAGGCTGAAATTGACGGACCACATTGGGAAGACGCAGTAAACACGCTTCTCAGAAACACTCTCCAGGTACTATAGTCACGTCTATTAAGTGCCATGGCAGTGTCTGTGCCTGGATGAGTAGTAGCTCGGTCACTTCCATATGCGCAAGTATCGGTTGAAGGCTCAGCTTTGTCTGGTGTAGTCGAGACGTGCTCGTCATGGAAAGCATTTCGTGCTGGTTGCCTTTTTTCTAAGATTACATACTTGGTCCTCTCAGCTGACAGATCGAGTCTGACACCTTTGAGATGTCATTTTGTAGCTACTAAACGGGGAGTATTCCTGTGGCCCACATCTCATTCAGCCAGGCAAGGATCGTCTCTAGCCTCCTGTTGGGTGTTGCATAGCATGTTTGCGTTGATGACATCCAGGCAGGGTGCACTCAATTTTTATATGACTGGTCCATCCGTATGGGTCCGTGTTCATGACTGGGCGTGAGGCGTCGCAGACCTAAGGACTTCGGACATGCTCGACTGTCTAATACCCTTTTATCTCAGTCCTGGAATATTTTATTCTCTTTATGTCACTTCCAAGCAAAGCAGCATATGGTCACGAATGACAGGCAGAGAGATGGTTAGTGCAGTAGCAAACTAAATGTTAAATAGAGGCGAACTTGTGCCCAAAACAAGAAATACAAAATGTGGCGTTGAAGGTCGGCGGTGTAGCACGATCGAGCGCAAGAGCGAGACTGCCTCCGGTGCTCGCGACCTTTGTGCTCCCTAATCCCTTTACATTGCTTCACACGTCCTACATTACTAATGGTGCACTAGCGAATGAAGAATGCATCGCTGAAAGACTAAAAAATAAACTAATTATTAATGCAATGAATGCATAAAACATCAAATCCCACTCCTCCTGCATTTGATTCTTGCCCCAAATAAAATAGACCTTTTGGCAAGAGGTATTGCTATTTTTCTGTATTTAGCACACACAATCTTGCCCAGAGCAACTAGCATGCACTCGCTGAACTGTCCTTTTTCCCTAACAGCAAGTTTTTTTTTTTAAAACAGTGAATACCAGTGGCACTCATGTGCATACTGTATCTGCACTCCTGTGTAGGTGGCAGTCAGAAATGCTGAACTTTTGATCTGAAAATATTGGAACACCACACACTTGGCCTGTTGGCAAGTACAGAAATTAAAATAGAGATCTTGTGACTTACACTGGTGTCCGTGTCGGGGATCTCCTTGTCCGTTGCCTCAGGACACTCATCTGGGTCAGGAATAGGAGCGAAAGCTCTCATGAGGAGCTCTGCAAATTAAAAGGCTTGGCTTAAAAATTAAGCATTCAAAATATTTCATCAGTGTGATTGCCCAACATGCTCAAGATGAATCAACACACATATGTCTGTGACAAATGAGGTTTGAACTCAATATATGCTCACGCTACTGTCCAAAATGTTTTGTTATAATCCCTTTACAATTTTGACAGGCAAACTCCTCGGCCTAGCAGTCATACAGCAACAACAATATTGTCCCTTTACAACATTGAAGCATTGCCAATGTACACTCTAGGCTAACCTCCAATAGTGCTGAATCTACAGGCTGCGGCTGTAAGTACTGACATGTGGGGCAAGCTGCCTTTTTTGCTCCATTTTTAATATTTTACCACCTCCAAGTTGAGCTCTAAAAGAAAGGACATAAAGCATCTTGCAAAATTATGTTTGTGTGCCCAATTTAAAGCATGTATGTTTGTAATTTGAATTTTGCAAGGCATGCCAAACCTGTTAGTCTTTACTCGCGACCCTGTATGTACGACCACCCTGTTTTTTTCCGTAACTTTAGTTTCGACTAATGAGCACTAGAGATTTTTGGCGTAGGGCCTACAAAAAGCAGAATGTTGCCTGAAAGGAAACTTGCCTGTAGGTGTCACTGGCGACAATCCCCCGCTTGCCTCGGGTGCCACCACTAGATTTGCCTGTTCCAAGGCCATTTGTGGCTTTTTTGAGCTGAAAGGAAGTATGAGCATGTTACGCTCGCAAAAGAAATTAAAGTTTAATTATAGTCTAATAATATAATATGCATAGTACGCTCTGGGGTGGATCTGGTGCTTGAGGAAGCTCAGCAAGTTCCAGAGCGTCCAGCTTGGCTGCCGGATGTCGTCCCGGCCAGCCCCGCTTCGGCCCGTACAGTTTCTGGCCTCCCGACCATACCTGCCTCGTATGGCCTGCCATGCACGCTTGCATTCATCTGCACTGCGCTCTGCAGTAAAAAAACCAAATATTTACAAATTAAGGCATTTACCTTTTGAAGAAACGTTCTAGCCCATAACGAAAGGAAAGAAGACTTGTCTTAGTTCGAGTCACCATGGTACAAGTCATAAAAATCTTACTAATTTTCTTCCCATATGATTTCACTGGGTCCGTTATTCATTTTCCATAATTTTGTGGGGGAGGTTTGGCTGTTCCGTGATGATGTGGGGACCGCATAAATCTTTCAACATGCACTAAGTCTGGCTCAGAGGCAATAAATTATGTTTAAAATGTACTCACTGTTTAACATTTGTAAGCCGGCTCAAGTGCTTTAAATAGGGTGACCCAAGTCACCAGGCTCGATCTAAAATACACCGTAAAAATCGACGCCTGCACGTAGTAATCTAAATTTTTCGTCAAAAGTGTATTTCACAGATCGGTGTTTTCTTGTAAAATTAGAAAGCGTAGCTATCTTTCTGTAAAAAAATAGGGCCAAGAAACTTGCCAGGGTCAACGGCGAGCGGCGACGCAGACCAAGTCGAATAGCCGGGCGGGTTTGGCGCTTGTATTGATAGATGGCGCTACCTCCTTAATGAGACTGCTCGCGACTACCATGGTTTATTAAAATGAACATAATCTTTTTGTAATGTACCTCAGGTATGTCTTTTATAGCCTCTTCAAGGTACCGGGCATTCATGGGTGCTTCAGCTCGAACAATGCCCGCACTTGTGTCCCGAGAAAACAAATGCCCATCAGTTTTTCATCTATGCAGGTATTCTCTACACACAACCTTTCGTTGCATGCTACAGCATGGCACAGATTTAACAACAAAAGTTTAGCAGCTTGCTGCAATGGGCAAGTTGCCTTGAAACAGATTCCCAATACTATTACGGCGAACCTAGAGTGCACTATAATTGTTTCCATCTTTTTGTGCGTGATGACATTCTGATGAGCATGTGACGTACAGGAAAACTCGGAACAGACTATTCTACAAGAATAGTGTTTTCTTTATGCTAGCGCGTGTTAAAGCTTCTCGGTCAGTGTAGGTATCAATTCGACAGCGATTCAACAATGACGTGACAATTCACTTGACAACGCACTCGATCGCTAGTTCGTTATTTGCTTCAGCGAGTCTGCTTCAGTTTTAAAGTATGCCCTTACATTGCGTGCGTACGATAGACTTCAGCGATCGACGATAGGATTCGGCTACCGAAATATCTGGCTTCGAGTGCCTAGCTGATCTGGCTTTCAATAAGAGGTGTGCCGCTTGAGCAGCGGGAGCATTTGCGCCCAGCTTTCAGATCAGACCGCGAGATTGAAAGACGGGGGAAAGTGTTTGGCTGGAGGTGATTCCTGCGAGTCTGAGCAATTAGCTGGTCTAGCATTGAATAAGAGCTGTGCCGCTCGAGCAGAGGGAGCATTTGCGCCCAGCTTTCGATTCAGACCGTGAAAGTAAAGGATGGAGGATCGCAGCGAGCGTCACCGACCGCGACCATCTGTGTCTCAACAGTACGTAGCTGCCCGTGCGCCTCGAATATACACACATGCAGAGGTGCCGTAGTGCTAATACACTGTTTTCACGCGTTAAAGAAACGGTGCACATGAACTAGTTTGCTGATCTCTGGTCACCTATTCACAGTAAAAATCTGGAATACGCTCGGGCGCGGCGATCCAGCTGCCGTGCTCGCTATACGTACCTCTCTCAAAACAAACGTTGAGAAATGAATACTTACTTAGGAGGTTGCCGATGGTCTTCCAGGAATTCTCCCGCTTTATCTTATCACGATAATCGTGTCGGGATGTATCCCATATCCATGGGAACTGCTCAACTTTCTCAATAAGTGCTACCTCGAAACAAGAACTAAACTCGTCGGCCATCTTCGAGGGAACGGGAGTCGGGACAGACGGGATGAAGAAAAAGGTAGGAGGAGCCACATTCTTTTTTTTTTTTTTTTGTCGACTCCTTATTGGTTCGTCGGAGGGCCGCTTGCAACTCCTTACGACCAGGTACGACCGGCTAAGCGCAGAAGCGCAGACCTCGGCGTCCTCGGTTGCCATGGCAACCAAGTGGTTTAAGAGGTTTCAAGAAGTTTTAGTGCAGTCGGTCGAAGTCGGTCGCAAGAGTGTGAACGGGCCTTAAGAGCTGCGCTCTAAAAACGTCAGTGCTTGAAACTGAAATCGAAACCGAAACATCTGCACGAAGCAACGAGGTAGAGGGCCTTATCGCGATAAACTGGCAGCTGCAAGTGACCCCCCATTGGCCGCCGCCATGTTTCATATTTTCAAGCACTAGACACGTGACCGTATAGTTTCATGTCTACCATTTAACGATGTACCGAGCCTAGAAAATTTCTTATTGATGTTTAATGGCAGTACCGACGAGATAAGTTATGTTTCATTTGCTTTTGTACAAATTTGAACGTGATTCGCTCTAAGCACCTCTATCTCGTTGGCGCGGAGGCCCCGATGAGAGAGTTGGCGGAAGTTTTATGGCTATCGCTCCCTAGCCAGTCCTTTTTTTCGCGCTCCTCCGCCTATCGGGCATGTGATGCAGACGACAACGTCTGCTTGAACCGTTTGTCTTATATATCTCTTCCGCTCGCAGTTCTGTGCTTGAAAATTCATTGACCGGTACCACGAACCATAGTTCCGAAGTAGCGGTCCCAGTCGCTAGTTAAGTACCCTTAATCACAAAGCTCAATTGGCCAATCAACACTCAATCGGCAAGACTCAATCGGCCAATCAAGTAACAACACTCAATCGGCCAATCAAGCAATGAAAAAATCAAAGGTAAAATAAATTACTCAATCAATCAATGAATAAATTAATTTATCAATGGAATTATTATTCAATAAGTCAATCAATCGATAAATGTTGTTGCCCATTTTTTGCGAGTCGTTTATTTTTGTCCCCATCGTGTGATTGTGTCGCAGCTGTCAAAATAAAAGACTTGACTGCGTGATAAGTTATGATGACATAAGAAGCACTGCCACGCCACACGAAAAATGAAAACAAAACAAGAGCAGTGCATATCCTTTCTAATTACGTAATAACTAAACGTAATAAAAAAAGACGTTAATTAGCTGGGAAATTCTGCACTATGTTGTGCTTCAAAATAAGTGCGGGAAAAGCAGACGCTAAGAACACAAATTTGTTGCCCTTAAGCAACGAGTTTATTTGATGATTGTGAACGCATAGAAGTCCGCTTTACAATACTTCGTTTCATCTTGTGTTGCCAGTTCCACCTTACATTTAGCGGTATCAGCCTAGAAGACACACAGATGTATGCAGACAGACTAAGGACGCACGGTCACACCACTAAACTGTTCTACATTCAATGCTTTTTCGTCTTAAGGTTTCACCAGAATACTCTCCCCCCTTTCCCCCAAAAAAAACAACTTCGCTTTAAAACACACAAAAAAAAAAACAAAAAAAAACACTACCATCACATTGGAATGCAGCTCCCAGATAGCGATTACGTCGGCGGCGACGCGACGATCTTTTTGCGTTGGCGGTGGCGGTGCCGCCGAATGCTTGGCGGCGCCGCGCCGGCGTTCCGGCAGACGCCACTACACCGGCGCGCGACTCACGGTGGCTGCGCATTTCTGCTCGCGGGGAATACGCGTTGGACATACGCCGGCTGCAGTTGGAGTATGCTCCTGTCTGCTCCATGGCAGGAGTATGTCTACGCTTTGGGGGTCTCAGTCTGCGTCACTTTGACACGTTGTGCCAAGATAGGAGTGAAGTGAATGTGGACGGCGCTGCAGTTTTTTGATCGACGTGGTCTTTTTTCCTCTCACCTTAGATTTGGAAGTGCCTGGAAATATAGGCGTCGTCTTGTGTGCTGATCTGTGCGCGTGCCGTGCGCGGGTATTGCAACTCGAAATACGACCCGTGGGCCGGGCCAACGGGTCGGCTCGGCCCGCGTTGTCTCGGAGCACCGCAGTTTGGGTGGTACTTTGCTCTTGTTCCGCCGTCGGAGTTGGTAAGTGCATCTGTATGCGCTATTATTAAAAACGTTATAGTAACTACAGCTTAAAAACACTGAAATAAAAAAGAGAGTTATTTTATAACTGCCTAGATAGGATACATGAACACAAAACAGTTCCTCCGAAAAAAAAAATATGCGAGTTCACACTGTAGGTCGCGAGACTTAATATCAGTTTCGCAACGTGCCTCGATTTAGTACCTCTATTTAGGTCTCACGACGTAAATATTGAGATAATTAGATGTTGTTGTGTTATTTTATGAGGAAAGAGAAGGGGGGGGGGTTGTAACGTATGTCTGAAATTCAAAAACTTAAAAAAAAAAAAAAAAAAACTTTAAGCCTTTTACTCTGGTGAGGACGGTAGAGCAGTGCAGCTGTACCTCCTGT